TTTTTTTTTTGTTTATAATAACACTACTTGTTTATTTATGCATAAAACTATTTTTTTTTCCCCCCGTGTTTATTATGTTGCTTTAATTTTTCTTTCAGCACTTTTATTTTTCTTGTTTTTAGGCAAGCATCGTTTGATACCTGTATGTTAACCAGTTGTCAGCAGGGATGGCAAAAGTATTACTGATGTGAATTGTTGAAAAAATGGAAAAGCTTTTGAGCAGGTTAAAAGATAGAGAAAAGTGCAGCAGCAGAATATAGTGACAGCAACATCGATCATTATGGCATTTGTTGCATCAGTACTGAGAGACTGTTTTCAGATGATTATCCTGGGAGATAGGTTAAGCTAAAGATTAAACAGCAAGTAAACAGTTTGGGGATTCTGAATTCTGTTGACATTATTTTAAAAATTAGACCTCAATGAATGGCCGCATTTTTGGACCCTTTAATTATGTTAGTTTATTAGAAAAAGTTTTCCAGTTTTTTTGTTTTTTTTTTTGGTCATTTTTAGCGCATTATTTATCTATTTTTTTTTATTGGTGACAAAACTTTTTTTTTAAATACTTTTTGTTCCCTTTGCTTTTTAGAACGTTTTGACATTGTTAAAGAAAATTGATACTTTAGTTTTTTTTGTTGTCATTCCAAAAAGAAAAAAAAAAAAGAGAAGGCGAATAATTTTGAAAAAAAAAACATCACTTTTTTTTTTTGTAGTATAAGGCAAAGGCAAAAGGAAAAAAAAAAAGGTTTTTTTTTCTTTGAACTTTCTTCTTTAAAATTAGTTTTTTGGTAAGTGTTTTTCTTACCTCTCCTTTTTTTTTTTCTATATAATTATTATTTTTTTTTTCTATTATTTCATTGATGATTGACTATTTTGTACAGCACAATCTCAAAAAAAAAAAAACAAGGGGACTTTACTTGCAATAGTTAGTTATAAAAATTTATATTGATCCAATTGATTCTTTTTTCTTACTTTCTTCAAAGGATGGTAGTTGTTTACTGTTTCCATTGGAAAGCTTTTAGTTACTGCACTGATCGGATGATATCAATCTTCAAGGCAAACCTTTAATATTTCCTATCAAATATTCTGTATTTCTAATTGAACTATTGCTGATTATTTGATTCTAAATACTTTATGTTTTTTTTTTTTTTTCGAGAAGAAATGAAGAATTAGCTTCTTTGTTGTTGTTGTTGTTGTTGTTGTTGTTCTATTAATTTATTTTTCGCACAAATATGCCACCATTGAATTGGCTGTATTTTAGTGTGGGATTTCTTATCACCTCAAAAAAGGGCACAATAATAACTTTTGGCCCACGTTGTAAAACTTTCTGGAAAAGTTAGTCTTTGCTAGCGATTTTTAATCGTATTAATGCACTTCTTTCTTATATATTCTTATTGTTTAACATTCGTACATTGTATCACTTTACTTTTATTGGTTGCAGTATTTCGCCAATACCACACCCTTCCTGACGCTATTTTTTTTTTCTTTTTTTGAAAAATAGTAACTTTAGTGACAATCTTATTTTATTCAGAAAAATGGCTCCTTCGGAAGGTCGAGCTGGTAGCGTGTCGTCCAGCGTCCAAGTTGCTATTAGGTAACTGTTGCTTAGTCTAATTTTCTTAAAACCTGCAAATTTAGGAAATCTTAAATTACAGTTATTGATAATCCTTAACTATTCTGTTGAAACCTGTGTTTAATCTTTATAATGATGACTCGTATTTAGTTCTAATTATATTTTTTTATCTGTCGCTTTAAAGCAGTATATATCATTCAGATTCTTACTACAAGGGGTTTTTTTTAAGGATACGACCGCAGGTAGCTCGAGAAAAGCTCCAGTTATGTCGAGTTTGTGTTATGGCAACTCCTGGGGAGCCTGAGGTTTGTTTTTGACAAACTTATTTTTTCATCTAGGGTTTTTTAACCATATGCTATTATTGCTATTTTCTTTTTGCTATTTAGATCGTCATTGGGGAAGATCGTCGTTTTACATTTGATGGCGTCTTTGACCAAACTACTAGCCAAAGAACTGTTTATGAAAAATGCGTAGAGAAACTAATTGAGGGCACTTTCGATGGTTTTAATGCTACAGTTCTTGCTTACGGTCAGGTAGTATATCGTTTTGGTATTTTTCAGTATTGAGTGGTTTTAGGAAGACAGTTCTGTACTGTATGTAATTCGATTGGCTTCATTACGCGATATCAGATACTGCGTGAATATTTTACTTTCGTGCATCTAAAGCTAAGTTGAAAAATGAGCTGGACTGCTCTCGCAAAACTTTAAAGATAACTTTTCACTCGGGTTTTATTAATTTTATTCGTGATATGCATATGTGTTGTGTACTCTGCTTCTTACAAAATCAGGTTTGAAACGAATGCGGGATGGTTGTTCCAGTATTCTTTAAGTTTGCTTCTAAAAGAGTCTAAAACTGCTGGTTCTTTTTAGACTGGAAGTGGTAAAACATACACAATGGGTACTGCTATCGACGTTACGGGTGGTGTAAGCGAGATGGATATTGGTATCATACCGCGTGCCATGCAACATCTTTTCGATGGCATTGAGTCACGTAAAGCTGTAGCACGTGAAGGCGGATTAATTGAGCCAATATTTGATGTTGCCGTTCAGTTTATTGAGGCATGTCTTTAAATTTCAAATAGGCCGTGACTGTAACTCGTTGCTTGACAGTTTTGTCAAGGGCCCAAAGGTTGTGAGGGTCAGCGTTTTCGCTTTCTTAAAATTCAACTTTGGCTTTTCAGTTGTATAACGAGTGTATAGTGGACCTTTTATCCGATGACCGGACCGGACCTGAGCCTCGTGTCCATGAAGATGCTAATGGAGAAATATTTGTGCAGGGTGTTGCAAGCCGTACAGTAAACAGTCCTCACGAGGTTCATTTTGATGTTTTTACTTACTTTTTTTCCCCGTCCTCACTTTAAGATGAAATAGCGTTTGGCACATTGTTAATTTTTGCTTCAAATGGTTAGACTTTTCTTACTCGGTTATTTTTTGGTTTTATATTAGTAATTTATCAGCCCAGTACCGTACGATTCTGTCTGTCAGGCATGTTTTGTAGACACTGGAGGTTTTAAAAAATGGTGCGCTCAATCGTACGACAGCGTCTACGAATATGAACGAGCAGTCCTCTCGTTCCCACGCAATATTTACCGTACTGATAAAGCAACAGCGGGTTGTGTCTGCCGGCACTGTGATTGAAAATGTTAGTGCCAAGAAAATTTGGACTTTGCATATTGTTTTCAAAGTAGCTACGCTAGTTTCTATGAATTAGTAACTTTTATTTCTCAGGAAGATGAAGTTTCTGGAAGAGGTTCCATGTCGGGTACAGCTAGCGAGTTTGAAGTACTCACAGCGAAATTTCATTTTGTTGATCTGGCGGGTTCTGAAAGACTAAAGCGGACTGGTGCTACTGGTGACAGAGCTAAAGAAGGCATAAGTATTAACTGCGGATTGGTGACTTAATTTGTTTCATTCTTCTCTATCTTAAAATTTGGATTTTTCTCTAGTTTCAATAACAATTGTTTTTTATATGCAGGAAAAACGCATTAAATATCTCTATTTATAAGATCTTTAATTGCAGTTGTCACTTGGCAATGTTATATGTGCATTGGGCAAAGGTGCCGGGAAAGTGACTCACGTTCCATATCGAGATTCAAAACTAACTAGGCTTTTACAAGACTCACTTGGCGGTAACAGGTAAGTCTGAACTTATTTTTTAAATAACCATTTTTGGATGCTGGAGATGATTGGAGTTTTTGAAAGTTCATTTTTTTGGCAGTTATTTTTCTTTGCAAATTATTTTCTTGATGCTGTAATTTTCCCAATTTTTTGATATTTCAGTCAAACTCTAATGATAGCCTGTGTGAGCCCATCTGACTGTGATTTTGTTGAAACACTAAACACTTTGAAGTATGCAAACAGGGCGAAAGAGATAAAGAATAAGGTGATTTATCCATCTTTAGGATAGTTATTGTCTGCAGTTTTTAATCAAAAAATGTTTTTGTTTTGGTATTTAACTTAGGTTATTTTGTTTATATATTCACAACAATTAAATTTTTAACTTCACAAAGCTTTCAGGTGATAGCTAATCAAGATAAATCGAGCAAACTTATTAGTGGTTTAAGGACGAGGATTTTGGAATTGGAAGCTGAGCTGGTGGCTATTAAGCAAGTAAGTCTTTAAAATCTGAGATGGACGTTAATATTTCTTGAAATTTAAATAATAGGATCTTTTATTGATTTAATTTTCTAAAGTATTGTTCCTGTTGCTTGAGCTTTAGGTGTGAAGAGATAATTTGATTTAAGGGTAAAATAACGATTGGAGCGGATGGTGTCGAGACTTTTAACGACCAATACCAGGAAAATATAATGCTTCGTGTACTTCTTTGTTTTTCTTTCTTGTGTTATATTTTATTTTCTTCTGATTCGTGTCTAACTTTCTGTTTATTACTAATGTGAATTAATTCAATTAAAAAGATGATATGATCACGACAGGTTCATTAAACCCTTCATATAGGGAATCGTATATGTTGCAGGCTGAACTGGAAGAGTTGCGTATACGGATCAAGGCCATGCAGGAAACTAATGAAACTCTTAAAGCTAGAAATGTCCAATTATTGTTTGAGAAGCAAAGTACTGCTTCGCTTACTGAATCTTCAAACTTGAACGGTTTGCTGTTTTCTGACACCACACGCAGTCTATATCTTTTCTTTATTTGCAAAATATAGAACTATATCTTCGTAACAGAACGGAGGTGAAGTTTTGAGAATTAAATTCTTTCAAGATCTTGTTACCTAAAAGTTTGGTAAGGTTTACCCTTGTAACATCGTATTTAAAAATGCTTCTGCTTAGTCAGATTTGTCAACCATTTGTCATTTATTAACATCGTAAAACTTCTTTCTGGTAAAGTCTAATTGGCTTCCACCGTTTATTAGCGGCAATTTTAGTTTTGTTGCAGCTTTAAGACTTCCGTTCTAGTGTGCTTGCTTTATGTCCGTCAACCAAACTGTATTATTAACCACTCAAACTTCTGGCCCCCAACGCTCTTACAACTGTATTTTATGATTTTTGAGCGGGCTCAAGTTAGATTTCTTCATAGAGCAATTTAGAAGTTGTTATTTTCAGCCGCCAAACGACCTTTACTTTTTAAAGCTTTTCCATGGTAACCTCTCAGCTAATATATTTTTTTTGAATGTGAAGGTTTCCAAATCCGTCATTTTGAAGGCGGGAGGATGATGTACACAACGCGTAATTAAATGGCTGCTATCCTTGTTTTCCGTTGAAATTGACATTAGAGAACTAGCGCTGTCGCAACATGAAATGCTTCCCGCACACTTGATCACTGTGCTCATCCTCTCTCGGTATGGGATCAGTGGAAACGTGACTTTTAGAGCGCACTTCTCTCTTATATTCTTTTTAATTGAAGATTCTTGCTTTTCATTCATTCTCGCCGAGAAGTCAAATTAATGTAAGGGCCGAAACAAGTAACAAGTAATCCTGAGAAGATCGTGACTTTATTAGCCTTTTCAACATTGGGCAGATTATTTCTCTGTAAATGTTTTTTCATGCTCTAGTCGATTTTCGCAATTGATCCTCTTCCAGCCGTAATTCTCTTTGTTTTTGCGAGGCTCTAATATTGTTGAGTTGTAATTCGATATTTAAAGACATTTAAAGGTCAATTAGAATTTGAGGTAGGCATATTTCTTCTAGGTTACCAATTTCTTGTTTTTCTGCTTACGTTTTTTTTTTTTTCAACCAGAGCGACATTTCAGTACAACAGTTCCCTACAGAAATACAATATGTAAGTTACAAGATGTTTCTATTAGGCGATGTGATCCAAAAGAAGCAGAGCTTGTTTGAAATATTCTGGTTAAAATGACTTCCGAGAATATGCTGTATAGTGCGAGGGTATAAACCATTTGACGATGGAAGTTCTGGAACTTAAAAAATTAAAAGACTTGTTTGAGGCATAAGTGTTTAGGTGTCCTTAATTGTATATGGAAGTTTTTAAGTAAATGGAGATTATTCAAACTTTTAACGTTAATAAATTTAAATTAACTTGACTTTTCAAGTGTTGTCGAATTTAGACGATGGCAGCGTTGAGTCTGTAATTAATCCGATGTTCGAAGCGATTCGCGGGTATTTAGATGAAATAGAGACTTTGAAGTATGCACCTCCTACCTTTATTCTGTTTCACAAGCTTAATGAAAGAAAAATAGTTTTTCACATAGGGTTTTTTGCTAATAAAGAATGGTTTCTTTTGATATTTTTATTATAAGCTGTTTTAATCTTGCATTTTTAAGAGGTTCCTTGGTTGAATCACAAGCAACGAATGAGCATTTACGAAAGCAGCTGAATCGCCTAAAGAGCATCTCGCGCGATACTCGCCTGGACTCCTTAAATATTTCTTCAAACGGATTTTTGCCGCCCGTTGACCACTCCGCTCCTCCGCTTGATGCTCCATACTCTCCGACAATGTCCGTTATTGAGGAAGCGAAGGCAGACATTGAAAAAATGAAGAAAACAGTTGCCAGCGGAATGCGCCGTAGGAGCTTTTTTTTGTTTACTTTGCTGTCAAGTGATTTTGTTTATCATGTACCAAAAAGATTTCTTACGTTTTTCTGAGGATTAAGGTGATCACTTGATGAATGTGTCCATGAACGCTTATCTTGAATATTTGGTTCCCGAGAACTCTTATAGTGGTTTGAAATTCTACTCTTAACAGGGTACCACGTATTAGGTTGAATCAAAGGCTGCATATAACTTAGGACAGAATTCAAAAAATATTTGTTTAGAGAGTTCTTATTGTTAGGAGTAGGAACTGAGCATTAACAAGCGCTTTCCAAAGTGACGGAAGCAATTTCCTTCTTTCGCATGAAAAATCGTGTTTGGGGTCCCAAAGGCCAACCGATATTATTCTAGAGTAGGTGTAGTTTGAAAAATTCTATTTTGCGAAGAGTATCTCTAAGTGTTTAGTAAGTGTGATCGAAAGGCAAAAGGAAGAAGGAGTAGGTGGGTTAGACAGAGTTGGACAAAATCAGTTTTATAACCTTTCTGGAGTACTCATTTAGACTAAATACTTACTGCTTTTGCAGATTCAACCATGTTGGTCTTCAATTTTATCATTTTACTGTTTCATTGTTCTTTCGTTTTTTTCTGTTGAGGCACAGGAAACTCCTTGGTAGAAGTGTTTTGGTAAGGGTTGTAGTATTTGTTGAAACTCTATGGCAGCAACTGTTAAAGCTCTTCCAGGTGAGATAAGTGAATGCTCTTCAATGAGCGAGTCCTTTATAATTGATAATGGTGCTCAGCGAAGTTCTGAAAGTTCTGATAGAGAAGGGACTTTTAACCCAATGGTAGAGAGCACTGATCGAGGAAGTTCAGACTTCGACGAAAACTCTGATGAGGAGGACGAAGAAAAGGATTTTGATCATGGTGTGTTTGTATTTGCCGTTTTTATAATTACTGCAGGAGGAACTTTAGGCGAACCAAAGTTTTAATTTTAAGCCAGAGAGGTTTGTGAAATCATATGTTTTTAAGTCAAAATGGTAATCCTTTTATTGATGTGTTGGAGTGGGCCTTGGCATCTCAGTATTATTCATTTGCGTTTTACTGAAAGTCATAATAGTGGGTAGCTTTGATTTCTTTCTGTGACGAAATCTGATAAATACATGATGCATTTGGTTTTCTTTTCAAATTATTTTTTTAGAATGCAGTCAACTTAAGGATGACTTGGCTGATTTACAAACAGAAATCACAATAAAAGAGAGGTTGGTAATGGAACTGGAAAGAAGTGAGCGGCGTTTGGCTGAGGTTAGTTGTCTTCTTTTTCTTTAATTTATGTTTATTTGACTCACCTCATAAAATTCATTTTGATTATTTATGATTGTAATACACTTTGCTTTATTTTAGGTTCGTATCATTTATGAAAAGAAATTAACTGAGCTTTCCTTAAAAATCGCTGCTACTGAAGCAGAACGTGACCGAGTTTTGAATGAGATGGGTTAGTTTTATCAATATATTCAATGTTGTTTTTTCTGTTGCGGAATAGTCGTAGTCGTTTTTGTTAAAATTTACCTTTTATAGCAACGAAAAGTTCTGCAAAGTTAGACGCTGAACATGTGAAAAGGATTAAAGATGAGTATGAAAAGAAATTGAAAGAGATGCGAAGTGAATTTAAGAAGCTGCAGTCTGTGGAACGTGAACATCGGAAGATGCGTGCTCGGCAGGTAGCTGAACAGCAACAACTTGTTCGCCTACGAAACGAGCTAAACGATTTAAAAAAGACAAAGGTAATATTGCAAAATCTAGAAACAAGTTTGTGTAGGCGTTGTTCCAGAAAATAAGCGTAGAATTTTTGTCCAGTTTTGTTTGTGCTTAGTATACCAGTTTATTGAATGACCACTCTACTACAGCGTACAATCAAATAGGCTTTTTTGCTCTTACTCGTTTGCATCAACAATGCTTGAAAGTGTAAAAGCGGATTAGGCGTGAAAAAGAGGAGTGACATACGTTTGAGTTGGCCAAAGAGTTTTTCAAGTGACATTTTGGAGCAAGTTGACTTAAGAGTGTTTGTATTAGATTTAATAATTCTATAAAACTCTCAAACTATCTTCTACTATAGTCAATGGATTTCATTTGTAGGATTTGCTCTTTACTACAAAGAAATAATAATGAGTATGCATTTGGTTTTTAAATTCTTTATTTCGTCCTTGACTATAATAAGCCACTCTTCTCATGTGTAGTCGCTTTTCCTCAGAAATATTTTCGCTTCTGGAGGTCAGAAGTATATCATATGCTTCATGTGCTCTCTTTTTTTTTTGAAGCATGAACAAATTTTATGGTAACTAAGTGTAAAAAGGCTAAAACGTGAAACTACTTATAGTTGTACTACCTGAGGATCAGTATTTTTTTCCTTATTCAATCTCATCGTGGTGTTCTCTAGGCCATTAAGTTACAGCGCGAATGAGTTTTGATGTTCAAAACCTCTTATCAAAAAAGTTTTGGTTCTAATATCTGCTGATGGAAAAATATTTCTTCAGTAGGCGGCTGCAGTCGAACTTGCCTCATTCTTAGAATTTATTTGACCTTAGTTTCGAACGAGGGGTTTTATGCTCGTTTTTTATGTTTTAAGAATCTATGAGTTGAAGTTTCTAGAATTGCAGTGTTTTATGTGTGGTTCTTGAATTCGTTTCTGTCTCCTATTTATTATCCTGCAAAAATTTAGGATTGTTTAATAATGTTCCCGATATATACTATATTTCGTTGGTTTAAATCCCTGCAAAATTTTGTAATATTGGATTCATTTAGGTGCAATTGATGCAGAAGATCAAAGAGGAAGCCAAACGAGCAAAAGCTTCCGAACTTGAACATTCTAAGAAGGTTTCTAATCTTGAAAAGGAGACTAGGTCTAAATTTTTTAAAACATTTATCGTAACTTTAAAAGCGTCTTCTCTGAATGCATTTTGGAGAACACTTTCCCTCTACGATTGCCAGTGTTTCTTCAAAGCTCTTTCAGTTTGGTGCTCCTCACTTTTTTTCCAGCAGGCGAGGCTAGCGAGTAGTAGTTGTAATAAGTGTACCACTGTTTCATTATAACTGGTAGAAGCGATGGGGCCACCGACTTGAAAAAAAAACTGTTTCTTTAATACCAACCTATGGTGAAATTTAGGAAAAAGGATAACATTATCAAGCAACTAGAAACAAAGGAACGTCAGAGGGAGCTTTATATTAAGAAGACCAACGAAGAAGTGGTTCGTTTGAGGCAGTTAGCTCGGCAAGAGGTATTTTTTGGTTGTTCCTTTTATTTCATAGGATACAGCTTTGAAGAAATACATATATGTTGTTATTACATTTGCTCTCATCAGATTATTTTCAGCAATTGCATTCAACTAAATATTTTTTCTTATTGGTGCAAGTTGCAGGAGCGTGCAAGGAAAAATCTTAATAATTCACGGCCTCAATCACTTCGCTTTGGAAATCAGAATGCTAATAACAATGCGAAGTTGCCTGATTTGTCCAATCCTATTCGTGCTCGCTCAACGCTTTTTTCACTGAAAGCCGCTAAACAAAAGTGGATGGCTATCGAAAAATACGTACGGCCGTTTTGTACTTGTTTGGAAATATTAGATTGCTGATCATGTTATAATTATATTTTGTTTAGATTTTTATAATTATATTTTGTTTAGATTTCTCGGAAAATCGCCCAGAGGCAAACGGTGATGAAAATGGAGGAGGAACTCGAAAGACGGTTTAGTGAGCGCTATGCAGTATATGACGAGATCCAAGAGCTGGTATTTTTTTTTGTCATATCAGTGACATGCTTTGTGGCATGAAATTATAGTCTATTGAAATAAGTGGTATTACAAAGCGTCTTTTTGTTAAAACCTGGAGCCTAAGTATTATTTTTTCAGGAACACAGGTACACGGTAACTAAAAACCTAGAGGAAAGAGACCTGATAGGAGAACAAATTGACGGTCTCCAAGTAAAAGAAAATTATATCCAAGACCAAATTACTGAATTACAGCGCGCGATCATTGATGTTGATAACGATAATGATAAAGTAACATTTATCTTTCTGAAGAATCAAAAGAAATTTGTTTTTCTTTTCTACTTTATTTAAACAGAACACTTTTATTTCAGGAATCGGAGCCAAGCGATTCTGAAATAAATAGCAAGATAGAAAATATCATAGGCAAATGTGGAAATATTTCGGAAGCCAAATATCTTTTGCAGCGTTTGTTCGTGTTTAGTTTGGAAAGAGGATTTCTTGCCGCTAAGGCACAATCAGATCAAAAGGTCTAATACTGCTTTTCTTTAATTTATAGCTCCCATGCAAACTATTTTTTGTTACACCTAATCGTGACTAACATCCATAAAGCTTATTGCAGGAGTCTGAGGCGCGTATACAACAGTTAGAGCAGGAGAAAGTTATTAATGAATCTCTTCTAAGCCAAGTCATCGAAGACAAGGATATTGTAGGAGAAGTTACCCAGGTTTTGAGTAGCTTTTTGATCCTGAGTCTTCTGCTCTTGCGGGATTTTTCATTAAAGAATCTCGGCGCAAAGCTATTTTATTGCAGTTTCAAAAATTAGAGGAACTGTCATGATGAATAAAGCTTTAAATCATTTTTGTCAAAATAGATGCGGTGTAGAGAAACAGAAATCTCTTTAAAAAGCTGATTCAGATTTAGAAATTTGCCATTTCATGCCTAGTTGGTTCTATCATGCAAATTGCAAGCAGTTGATAAGATTATACAAAATTTGGATTTACGCTTTTTGTGCGTTCTATTTTTGAGGTTTTTAAGAGCGTTGGTTATTTATACGGTTAGAGTATTGATTAGCACGGCTTTTTTAACGAGCACTTTTAGGTTTTGGAAGCAGTGCAAAGAAATAGAAGTGTAAGTCGCTCTCCAGAATGCGTTGATCATAACGGTGAAGTAGCCAAGCAGAATGGAGTCAAAAGTGCTGGTACTGGTTATAGCTGGTCATTGCAAATTCTTGTTTAATGAATTTCTTTAATAACAATTGTATTTCTGCAGAAAAAATTTTTTTAATTTCTGATCTTGAATGATATTTCTGTTTTTGATGGCTTGTTTAAGTCTCTGATGCGTGGGAAGTCTTGCTGGTAAAAATGAATTGTGTAAGCTGTGACTGTTCAGAATGAAGTAGTTTTCGAAATCAACTTTTGATTTTTGAAGATTTAGTTTCATCGTCAGAGAAGGCTAGGCAGAGGACAGCGACAACAGACGAACTTCTTTATTCTAAGGAAAATAAACTTTCTGAGCCTTTGGAAAGCATACCTGAAGGGAACCGGACACGGAGCAATACTCCTGAAGAAGAATTATCGACGTCTACACCATCAACTCCTCGTTCGAGCAAAAAGTTTGCTGTCTTCAGTGTTAATTTTTCATCTTCTTTTTACATGAGAGACACTAGCAAACTATATTGGCTACTTTCCACCTCATCCGTTTTCTCTTTACAAAACGCCATCATTGGTTCCCTCGAGTAAATGTAAATATATCTGAGATTTCTTCTTCGTCTCGGTTTTGTCGCTCAAAGATAGCTAATTTACAGTCTTTATCGGATTTCTTTTTTGTGCTTTTTTCCTGAGTGGGATTAAGACTAAAAAAAACTTTTAAAGAATTACACTAAAGCTCTTGTCTAAACTTAGGGAAAGTTTTTGGAACAATTAGTAAAAATTCCAGGTTGCTTTCAAATTTCTTAGTTTTTGAAATGATTATGCTAATAAAATTTAATTTTTTGAAAACACTTAAGAATCTATATTTGCTTCACATGTTCAAATCATTTAAGAAGCTATGCATGGCTTGACAGGATTGACACCCTGTAGAGTGCTTCTCTGTTGCCGTCTAAAACTTTTATTATATCTAAATAAGAGGTAAATGACGCATGGTTAAGCGTTTGGATTATCTTTCACCGATTTCCACTTGATTTTTCATCTATTCGCTTCGCACTGCACGATGACTTTCATTGGTTGATTGGAACAGTTCTAGGCATTTAAAAATTTATAGCCAAATAACTTCATCTTTCTCTTTAATTACTTTGATAGGCAAGTTGAGCAAGCTTGTATGGTTTTCGCTTGAATCGGACGCTAAGTGAACATGTATCCCACAGCTTGAATTTTTAAGACACCTTAATTTTTGCTGGTTTAGAACAGTTGCTCCTAACTGTTTGGTCAACTGGCTCTTATCGAACGCTTTTTGCGCCATTTATTTTGTTTTGTGTTGTGGTAGTAGAGAAGGGCAGCTAACTTTTTTGCTAACAGTGCTTTACGTAATCGTGATGGTTACAGTGTTCAGCATGATCCACATCCTGCAACTTCTGCCTTCGTAAGAAACAATTTTCGGACTACTATTGCCTGTTCAACTCCATCCACACAAAGGCTTTTCTATCGGGCGAAAAAGTCAAGCCCTTTTGGGTAATCAGTTTTTCGATTATGACTTTTATTTTTACCATTCAGCTTCGCACTTTTCTTATAATTTAAACTTTCCTTTGTTGCTTCTCAGAAAGCTTTTTTGCATTACTGTTGACTTTTCACCAGCTTGTTAAACTTGATTTTAATTTTGACACTCGTCGTTTTTTGTTAATTTTAGTATGTTTCTTAGGCCACACATGCACGCCGTTGCTTTTTGTTTTTCTCAGTTTTTAAAGGATTTTTACTTTAGACCAATAAACGACTGAATTAAAACTCTTGGTTTTTATCTTTATTTAATTATTTTTCTGTTTTCTTAATCTCACAACTCTTATTGGGTTGCAATAACTTATGCTCTAAATAAGTAAAAGTAACGACACGAATGGAAAGAATGACGTAACTGTATTAATGAATGTTTTTTGCACAAAATAGTTTAGTTGTAGCAGGTTCATGTTACAATTTTTTTCAATCTGTCTTTTTCATATTGACGTTTCGTTTAAAAAATGGATGGTATTATGTTTTATAATAGAATTTCCATCGTCATTTAAAATCTCTTAGTTCTAAGTGTTTTGAGTTACAGTATTTTTGAAACAGGTAAGGATTTTGGAGTTTTTAACGTTGTTGGGTTGAATATTTGTGTGAGTT